CACTAATACATGACAGGAAACTTAAAATATAAATTCATTTGTTTTTTTCATGTAATATCTAACACCATTTAGAGATACATTTATACAGGTGAAACTCAAAAAATTAGAATATCGTGCAAATGTTCATTTATGTCAGTATGGCAACTCAAAAGGTGAAACCAATATATGAGATAGACGCATTACATGCAAAGCGAGATATGTCAAGCCTTACTTTGGTATAATTGTGATGATTATGGTGTACAGCTTATGAAAACCCCAAACCTTTGCAGGTGTTATGGATTCATTAGCTGATTAGAGTGGGACACTTTGAGCCTAGAATATTGAACCTTTTCACACTATTCTAATTTTCTGAGATTGTGAATTTGGGGTTTTCATAAGCTGTACACCATAATCATCACAATTATACCAAAGTAAGGCTTGACATATCTCGCTTTGCATGTAATGCGTCTATCTCATATATTGGTTTCACCTTTTGAGTTGCCATACTGACATAAATGAACATTTGCACGATATTCTAATTTTTTGAGTTTCACCTGTATAAATCCTTTGCAGGTGTTATGGATTCATTAGCTGATTAGAGTGGGACACTTTGAGCCTAGAATATTGAACCTTTTCACACTATTCTAATTTTCTGAGATTGTGAATTTGGGGTTTTCATAAGCTGTACACCATAATCATCACAATTATACCAAAGTAAGGCTTGACATATCTCGCTTTGCATGTAATGCGTCTATCTCATATATTGGTTTCACCTTTTGAGTTGCCATACTGACATAAATGAACATTTGCACGATATTCTAATTTTTTGAGTTTCACCTGTATAAATCCTTTGCAGGTGTTATGGATTCATTAGCTGATTAGAGTGGGACACTTTGAGCCTAGAATATTGAACCTTTTCACACTATTCTAATTTTCTGAGATTGTGAATTTGGGGTTTTCATAAGCTGTACACCATAATCATCACAATTATACCAAAGTTAACACTTTGAGCCTAGAATATTGAACCTTTTCACACTATTCTAATTTTCTGAGATTGTGAATTTGGGGTTTTCATAAGCTGTACACCATAATCATCACAATTATACCAAAGTAAGGCTTGACATATCTCGCTTTGCATGTAATGCGTCTATCTCATATATTGGTTTTGATATGCCTTTTGAGTTGCCGTACTGACATAAATGAACATTTGCACGATATTCTAATCTTTCGAGTTTCACCTGTACATCTCTGTATTTTCCTAGCTAAATAAAAATAACAGTGCTGTGGTAGTTATGAAAAAACAGTATTGGCTATGTAACTGTTTTAGCTAATGCATTAACTGAAGTCTGGTAATACATAGCTAACAAAATCCAGTTAACCCCACAGGTTTCTTTCTTTTTGTTCTTTTTTGGCACATATTTTTGGATTTATTGGGTTTCTGTTTTTCCATCTTTTATATACACACTAACACACATCCTCCATATATATTTATTTTTCCTAATACACACATTTTAATTGGAAAACTCCAGTAGAATACATTAGATCTATATTTTAATTTGTGCATCAATTTGAGACGTGTATTATGTAAGCTTGGGTTACAATACAAACTTAATCTAATAACTAAAGCATTTAGTGCTGGGATACTTGAATCTTCTCAACTTTGCCAAAATATAGAAAATTTATTGAAATTCCTTCAGTTTGGGCAGCACACAGCAAACTATTTCTCTGGGCTTTGGGAGATTGGGGGAGGGTTGCAGATGTATCACCCCATATCCCAGTGAGGGTTCCTTAGTGTGTGCACCAGTTGAGAAGTGGGGCTTGCCTTGCGGTATTCGTAGCTGTGTAAGATTTGAATTCAGGGGGGCTGGCTGGTGATTTCTTTCTGGGAGGTAGCAATTAATTGGTTGCTACAAACACCTGTAAAAAAAGCCTTTAAAAACCCTGGAGAATCCCAGAGAACCCAGCTTCTAAGTACAGTGGTACCTCGGGTTACGAACGCCTCTGTTAACGAACTTTTCGGGTTACGAC